CTGTAAATATCCTTTTTCCAAAAGAAAAACTTTTTAAATTGTTTATTCTATAACATATCGTTTCTTACAATTTCTTACAATTGATTTTTATTGGAAAAAATAAAGGGGACTTGTAAGTTTGCCGAAAAATAAAAGCGAAATGTTAAGGTATAAGATTGGTAAAGTCTTTATTTTGAACGTCAATTTCTATGATTTCAAATTCTGAGGCCAAATTCTGGTTGTCCTGATTTTCTAGATTTTGCGACATTAAGGATTGTAGATTTGATTATCTCATATTTTTTGTATAAATCTTTAATAACAAATCTCAGATTATCTAGATCCTTCATTTTACTAAATTAGAAAAAATCAACTCTCGAAATCCATATTCGAAAGCAATGGAAAAGGAAATACCCCTCCTAAAACGTCGAAGCTTTTCTGAAATGTTTTTTAGTTATTTTTGTTAATTAAACTCTAATTTCAATTAATTTTATTTATATTTGTTCGTTAAACTGAGTACAAAAAGTATTTTTTGTTCGTTATGTAAGGTACTCAATGTAAAAATATTGATAGTTCGCTAAATGCGATGTTCGTAGAAACGAATGTTGGTTAAATCGGAAAACTACTGTATCAAGAATTGGAGACATTGTTGCATGAAGAATGTTGTGAAACTCAACCAAAGGAGCAACTCATTCGGCAAATTTTAGTAGCAGGAGTAACTCAAAAGCAAGAAATTTGAGAGGCCTTATAACCCTCTTTTAAAGTACAGCTTAAAGGCATAAGAAATCGAAAAACCAGCTGAAACGACATTCAGAAGATAACCTCGTCCTTCAGCCACATAAAAATCTTGACCCGGAAGTTTTGAAAAGTCTTGAAGTTCGATCATCCATCAAATAACAATCTTGGTGTTATTGCAATCCCGGGGGTAAAGGGATCTTTCTTCCAGGACTATAAACTGGTGATGATCACACGTATCCTCGGTCATTCCATGGATATATCCCACATATCCCACAGAAGAGTAACTGTGGAACTAAGCGTTGGAAATGAGTTGGTGTTAAGTGTATGTGATACGGGATGATTGTAGAGGTCATCCCATCTGCGTGGTTTTAAACAGAAGTGTTGTTTTTGCGTCTCGGAACTTACAGTTCTTTCTAAGAAAAATGTAAAACTTTTCACTATTTTAATACTAGCACAATATGGTGTGGCAACTCTTTTAATTTACAATAAAAAAATTAAATTAATGGCAACTCTGTTCAAGTTATTTTTTGAAATAACTGTGCAATTCCAACCTTTATCATCGGCTACGTTTAAGCCGGCTTAAGCTTTTGAGTCGAAAGTAGTCGGCCGCGGCTTACCAAATATTAACGGCGGCTAGCCGCCGCCGATTTGAGTCCTCTCGGCTTGTAACACTGCTCAGAAGCTAAGCAAACGGACAGCAATGTCCAGAGATTAGATAGCTTGAGTACTTGAGCATATTGTTTGTACATGGACCGGCAGAACCATGTATGAGTAAGATGTACAAAGGGGCGGTGGTGAGTTTTCTTATCAACTGACCCTGTGGTTGGGAAAGTACCACCGTGAAATAAAGCCAATACGGCAGGTGTATACGTAAAGCACTTCGACTTCTTCTTTCAGAATTTTATAGGGCTTTAGCGCAATAAAAGAATTAGAATATTTAACTTTACGAACTGCTTTTCTAATCGAAATTTTTGGGGCTTTTCGACAGAGTTGTTCAACTTATTTTGCCTTAACACTATATGTTTTTCTTACTCTGTCCTCACTCTTTTTGGAATAATCATTAAACTTTGTCTTGAGGCATTGTTGGATTCTTCCTTCAAGAAATATCACCTATAATTTGATTGTGAATATTTCTCCAAAAACTTTTATAAAAAATTTAAATATTGAAGAAGAAATTTTAAGTTCACTAATATTTCTGGAATTCTTAAAACATTTCGGTTTTTTCTAACCGATTTTTTTTTACACAACATTAATTTCTATTCCGGTCTAGTTATTACAAACGTTTGGAAAAACTTTTTTTTTACCTTAAACACATGATGAAGGGTACAGGAATATAAAACAAAACGAGAACAATATTGTAATAAATTTTTCAAATATACAAAACAAAAACAACATAAAATACAAACAACAAACTCAATACAATTTGCAAGAAGAAAATATTAAAAACAAGAAGAAAAAAAAAAGAGTTTAAAGAAAAATCATTTTTAAAAATAGAATTGAAAATACAACAACAACGAAAACAAACTTAAAGAAAAACATTTATTCTTGTATACAAAAAAAAAATACAAGAAAAACACAAAAATTCAATATAAAAACCGAAAAAAGAAATAAAATAGAAAAAAAAGACAGAAAACTTGTAAATCGTCAGTTTGCATTAGAAATGCATTTGTTAATTTAGATTTAAATTTTATTTCAGTTTATTTGTCGCTTTTCGCCATGATATTTTTCGATTGTATAACAAATGGATTGATTTAAATGTCTAACAGGGTGTAGCAATAGTAGAAGGGTATGTTTTTCTGTTTAAAATCTTTTTCAATTTCTATTAAATTTCTAATCTATTGTTTACACTCCTTTCTTAATGTTTTAAGTAATTTTTAATATTTTTACACCCGCCTTTATTTACTAACCTGCTAAAAAACTAATTTTTATGATTTATTTCCTTTATTTCATTTGCATTAAAAATTTGTTCAAAGAATTTTAAATTTATTATAAATTTTGATAAAATGAAATATCTAGCATTCTGTTTTTGTTTGTGCTTTTTTTTTTAAAATTTGCAACAATTACGAATGTATTACGTCAGAGTTAAATACATATTTTCTTTATTTACAAAAAAACGCAAAAAACAATAACAACAAAAATACACACATAAAAACACAAATGTGTATTTATAAATTATTATTTTGAGTATGGCGAGACGCACTATTTACACAAAACTATAAAAATGGCAAACAAGAAATTTAAAAAAAAAAAACATATTTCTCGAACTATATTTTAACTGATCTATGAAAAACATTCCTGTAGTTTGGGGTGATTGTCTTGATTGATTAATAAGTAATTTCCAACTATGTTTCTCGTGGGGAAATTCAATTGTTCTTTACCATAATCACACTATATTTGAATTATCATTGGTCAACTGACTCTACAATAGATTACTTAATGTGTGTTAGGTAACCACAGAAATAAGATTTCATTGCCTAACAAAACGATCTAAAGGGATACATTGATTATTTAAAGAACTACAGGGATATATTAAAAAAGTAGAAAATTTCGTTTAGCGCGTGCTGGCAATATCAAAAATTTTTCTTCGCAGACCCCTTGACCAATACATATAAAGACGACCGTAAAATTTCCTTTGCTAAACAAAGTAAGATTGAGTTAATTGCTAAAGTACGGCTAGAATATTGTCCACAATCTATGTTCTGAACCATATGGAATTGAGCCCGTGGCTATGCAGCGAACGTGGAGTTTTCGACAAATGCCATACTATAGGAGTTAAAGTGGCTGGACAAAAGGGAAAGTTTAATTCTGTGATTCATATTCCGAATGATTTGAAATGATTATTGCATGCTAGGATTTGATCGCTCAAGGTCAGCAGGATTTATTTCAGAAAAATTTCTTTTGAATATTCAAAAGGAATTCTCTCATAGAACAGCATTCTATTGAGAATACTTCAGGCCTCATATCATTGCAACAACCAATAGTTCCAACCAAAGTTCTAGTTCAATTCTAGTTCAGTTCTAGTTCAGTTCTAGTTCAGTTCTAGTTCAGTTCTAGTTCAGTTCTAGTTCAGTTCTAGTTCAATTCTAGTTCAGTTCTAGTTCAGTTCTAGTTCAGTTCTAGTTCAGTTCTAGTTCAGTTCTAGTTCAGTTCTAGTTCAGTTCTAGTTCAGTTCTAATTCAGTTCTAGTTCAGTTCTAGTTCAGTTCTAGTTCAGTTCTAGTTCAGTTCTAGTTCAGTTCTAGTTCAGTTCTAGTTCAGTTCTAGTTCAGTTCTAGTTCAGTTCTAGTTCAGTTCTAGTTCAGTTCTAGTTCAGTTCTAGTTCAGTTCTAGTTCAGTTCTAGTTCAGTTCTAGTTCAGTTCTAGTTCAGTTCTAGTTCAGTTCTAGTTCAGTTCTATTCAGTTCTAGTTCAGTTCTAGTTCAGTTCTAGTTCAGTTCTAGTTCAGTTCTAGTTCAGTTCTAGTTCAGTTCTAGTTCAGTTCTAGTTCAGTTCTAGTTCAGTTCTAGTTCAGTTCTAGTTCAGTTCTAGTTCAGTTCTAGTTCAGTTCTAGTTCAGTTCTAGTTCAGTTCTAGTTCAGTTCTAGTTCAGTTCTAGTTCAGTTCTAGTTCAGTTCTAGTTCAGTTCTAGTTCAGTTCTAGTTCAGTTCTAGTTCAGTTCTAGTTCAGTTCTAGTTCAGTTCTAGTTCAGTTCTAGTTCAGTTCTAGTTCAGTTCTAGTTCAGTTCTAGTTCAGTTCTAGTTCAGTTCTAGTTCAGTTCTAGTTCAGTTCTAGTTCAGTTCTAGTTCAGTTCTAGTTCAGTTCTAGTTCAGTTCTAGTTCAGTTCTAGTTCAGTTCTAGTTCAGTTCTAGTTCAGTTCTAGTTCAGTTCTAGTTTAGTTCTAGTTCAGTTCTAGTTCAGTTCTAGATCTAGTTCTCTTCTTGTTCACCAAAGAGTTCCACCTAGTCGGAGAAAAATGCAAAAAGACAAGGGTCGGCAGCAGATAAACTTTTACAACAATAATTTAATAGCTGGGACCGAATGATGTGCTAATGATACCTCAAGGCCCCCTTTTAAAAACAGATACCAATAAAATTCGTAAGCTAAAGTTAAAGGTGAGTATCTTACGACAAAAAGATTAATATTACAAATGACTCGAAAATTGTTACTTAATGTTAAAGGACACAAAACATTTTTATGTAAAAATTAATTAATTAGATCCTATTTTCACCCTAATTTTTAATAACAAAATGACTAATTCTGCTCCTACATCTAATAACTTAATATTTATTACAAAAAGAAATCTCACTCACCTGATGCAGAGCTGTTAAACCATCAACATTGGCGGTATTTATATCGGCACCTTGTTCCAGCATCTTTAGAACTTCTTCTTTATCGCCAGCTAAACAGGCGGCCAAAAATATACAACCCGATGAAAATTTAATGCGACTACCACGTTCGGGTCGTGGAACAGGAGGTTGTTGATTTGTATCCGATTCTTCCCAACGTTTAAGTTGTTCGGCACGTTTCATAACGGCCGAATTATTGCGTATATCTAAAGATGTCATCTTGAAGATTTAGAATATTGTGGCTGCTGATGTCGATGATGATGATGGCTTTGATTGATTACGTCTATATATTGAAAGGCTTTCTTGGAGGGTGTAACAAATCTGTTGCCCCAAAAAAATATTGTTATGTTGTGAAAAAAAAAAAAAACTATAACTGGCTGGCCGCTATTGTTAAGGCGGCAACCGTTTTGTTTGTTTTGTTTATTATGTATTTTCTTTGTTTATTTTTTTTTTTTTTTAATTTTATTATTAAAATAATTCTAAAAAAATTAACACTTTTAGAGAAAATTTATATTAATTTTTATTATTATTTTTTAATATTTCATTAGGAGTTTTCTAGCTGTATTTTTTTTATTTGGTAATAAGAGAAAAAAAGCCACAATTTAATATTTTAAAACAACAAAATAGATAAGAAGTTTAGCAACAAAAAAATTTTAGATAGATTTTATAAATAAAACGAAATGACAAAAGTTTGTCTTAAAATATTAATTTTGACAGCTTTTTTTCTCTATATTTTTAAGTTATTTATTATTAATTTGTTTGTTTTCTTAATTATCTTTTAAACCGCTATTCTTGTTCTGTGTGAGAGTGATCAGAGAGATAAAAAAATGAGAAAAAGTGGAGCCTTTAGTTGTTTGGAAAAAAAGGGGGATCTTTGTATGTTTTTGTTATTGTATTATTTTCTTTTGTTTATCTCACTTGTTCGTATTTGTTAAACAAGTATTGCTGCTCCTCTCTTTTTTTTTTTTTTTGTTGTATTTTCCTCTGATATGTGGTATCAATTCTTTTGCACTTTTTTTAATCCGTTTTTGGTATTGATCACGTATTTTATTTATTTTATTTCGATTTTTTTACATGTTGGTGTGTTTTTCTTTAACACTTCACTGCACTTTTGCTTCGCTTTTCTTTTAATATTAAAAAAAAAAAAAAAAAAAATATTTAATTAAATAAAAACTAGAAAATTGCAATGAAATTTTTTATAATTTTGCGTAAAACAAATTTTTTTAATTTTTTCTTGTTTGATTTCAGTTAATTTTTTTTAATTATCCACCTTTTTTTTTAATTCATTAATAAATTTTTCAATTTTAGTTATTTTTTTTAAAGAATATTTAGTTTTTTCTTTAAACTTTAAGCCCCCAGTTTTTTATTTGCAAATTTTATTTTTTTTTTTTTTCAAATTGTACGTACTATATATTTTAGTGTAATGACGTACATATATGAACAGTACGATTGTCTAGGAGTGTGACTATTAAACTGATCTCTAATAAGCGCAATTCCCCCCAAAATACGCACGAAAGTATTCGTGAAATATTTTCTTTTTTATTAATTTTCTTATTGTTTACTTACTCTCTTTCTCGCTCATATTTTTTTATCTATTTCTCAACTTGCTCTTCATTTTCTTTTACTCATCACAAAATAGTGTTGAAAATCTTATTGGAAAAATTGTGTACTTTTTTTGGGTACTAAAATATAGTACTTAAAAGAAACTGATGGAACTGATGAAACTAGTATTCCAAGAAAATTTGGAATACTAGGGAACTAAGAGGCCAATGTATACTTTTTGAATGGTATGTCATAAATATTATGAAAACTGTGTTTTATGGCCTTATTTGAGGTGTTATATCAACGCGAAGACAACTTTATCTATGACATTTTTTAAATCATCTGAAAGTAGAAATAGGTATCTAAGCCTGATCCGTATTCGGAGCAGTTTAATCCTTTATAAAAGATTTGTATCTTGTAAACCCTAACAGGGCATTCATTAGGCAGAACATGGTTTTTATGAGACCAGTAGGCAATAAGTCTGCCTCTCATTCCCACGACAATTGGATCTCCGATTCAGAACGACCCGATTCTCAATCGGCCAAAGATTGTTAACTCAGCAACAGCTGTATCAACCGGAAGTTTTTTCCCCAGGGAAGTCTATCTCTTATGACGATAGTCAAGCTGCTCATAGAGCATTGGCATGTCATACGGTACATTCGCGTAGATTGTAGAAATGCTCCTAGGTACATTATTAGACTGTGGCGGGTGCTGGGGCACTGCAAATCAAGTTGAGGATGAACTAGGTAATGATAAGGATAGATGGGTAAAACCACTTATCTGTAACTTTTATAGATAGATTTTCAAGAGAGTTCGCAATACAAACAACAAGTCCTGGAATCGAAGAATAGATTGCATATTATCAAAGGCCATATGGTCAGCACCTGGGGCATTGCTCAATCTGGCCTTTGTCAGTAAGAGGGAAAGTAATATACTATATTATTGCTAGATATACGAATAGGCAGAGGAACTGGAAGTTCTTTATAGGTCTAGATAGCTGCAGTCTAAGGATTCTGACAGAAATACATGGGACTATTGCAGGATGTGCGAAGACGTAGAGGAACTAGAGGTGATTGGTCACTACATTTGCGCTCTCAGGTTGAAATGGCTGGGAAATTGTTGCCATGATGAACTGGGGAAGAGTACGGCAGTCAATCCTCGCCGTCTACTAGGTTTTATCAAGAGAATTAGAAAATTTTCGACTGTGAGACTCAGACTCTCTCACAATTCTTTCTTTAAGGAATCGATTCGGTAAAACTTACATTTTCAAATCCCTTAGCCATCAACCTGTTTTCATTCCTTGTGCCTCATTACTTATATCCTATCTATTTTTGGATCTCTGTACTCTACGAAAGGAATTACAATGGACCTTATGGTTAGCGAGTGGAGTTGCAGCTTTTAATGGTGCAGAACCCTTATTAACATAACCCCGTCTATCCTGACATTAGTTTCCTTTTTCGAAGTAGATTTTCTTCAATTTCTGCAAACACCAAACACTGGCTGCAATATACATGATATCTGTGAATTCATTAGTCACAAGAGAAGAAATACATTTTCACCGCTTATCACTTAAAGTCCGCGAAATTCGCTAAGTACTCATCAACTTCTAATTAGTTTTCTTCTTATCAATCTTGTTACTCCTAATAGCTCCTTTAGTTATCACATCAGTTTTGTTTAGGTCCTAAATCTACAATATTGTTTATCGTTGGTACTTTTTTGACCCTGCCAGAACTTATACAGATTTAATACCATCAAGACGTTAAAAGAAAATTGTGGCAGCAATAAACAACAAAATAAACATAAAAATTTGTATATAGAACAACAACATCACAAACTAAATGAGCTAAAAAGAGAAATAATAAAAAGAGAAATGGTATAAAATACAAGAAATAACAATTAATATTATATATTCTTAACGAATTTTCAAATACAAACATAATCGCAAATAATAGATGAGTGGAGGAATGAATCGTCTATGAATTTCTTAACATGATCGATTACACACAAAAAACACAACAACAACAACAGAATTGAAATATACAAAAAAAAATTATGTGCAAGAATTTATCGTGTTGTTGACGATAGTAGAACAAAAAAGTGTTGCCAGGTATGCGTATGGGTAGACAAGGGAAAAACCAAATAATCTTGTATGGCACATAATAAAAGAATGATCTCCACAAATTTCTGATATACATGCAAGACTAATCTGATTAATAAACTCCCTGGGAGTATGTTCCCTGTTCATAAAGCATGCAAAGGGGAATAAACTCTTGGGGAATTATTGTTCATAATTGCCCTGATAGTCTTACAAATTCTGCAGAAGTCATTCCGCACGGCTAATAAAAGATAACAGCATTCACATCATATTGATGCCTACGATACATCTTGGCTGACAATCGTCTGCCAAAGAAAATATCTTATTTGCCGATAAATTATCAGAAAATATATATAGCCTTAATGTTAAATGGATCTACTACACAAATGTACAAAGTATACCGAATAAAAGAGCTTACTTTGGGTTAGATAATGACCCAAAACATTCGTCAATGATATTATAAGATTATTTGTCGGATAACACCTATATCTCAAAGTCGGAGAACTTGCTCGGTCGGAACTTGCCGCTTTAAATAAAATTTCGGCCGGCTCCTAAATGTCTCAAATGCAAGTATGTTAAGATATCTCGAAGAAAACAATATATAACAGATGTTACAACATTAAAGTCAGCAGATTGGACTTCCAAATGACATCTTAGATTTTATAGATAAAGGTATCTTCGACCAATAATCTGAAAAACATAATAGTTATGATTGAGAAATTCTTAGATTAGATTCTGATTCAGCGAAGCTTAACCTTTTGGAAAATCAATAACGATTTGAGCTAAAATTTATCTACGACTGTTTCTATATTGAATAACAATTGATTACAATATTAAAAATATATTAGAAGTATGTACATACAATAGAAAACAATAAAAATTGGTAAAAGATTTCTATCGATAATGTGACTACGGATTAGTGTAAAAATTAAGCCACAATTTGTCTCTAAAATGATTTATAATTGAAATGTATCAGATTGATCTTTAGAAGTCTAATACAGCTGTAAATTTGACTATCTTTCGGACCTGGTTTCTCTCGTATATATATAAAAAAAATCTTACCAGCTATAGAGTTAACACTATAATGCAACAATATTTTCGATATTTTTCCCACTCAAAATAATCGATTAATTAGATTTATGAAAATAAATTCCAACTGGCCACCCTTAAAAGTAGCATTCTTCCCTTGCTCTAGCAAAAAGAATAGCTTTTAATTTGTTATTTACTTTACCAATTAAAAAAAAAATCTTTAAACTTTTTTTAAACAAAAGAAACACTCAAAAAATGTTATTGTTCATAGTTTTCAAATAAATATTTAACATTAATTATTTTGTGCCTTGTTTTTTCACAATTTCTTTTCACAAAAGTTTGCTTCTTCTTCTTTTTTAATAAACACACATACACAACAAATAACAACAATACAAAACCAACCAACAACAACAACAGCACTGTCTGTGTCATTTAAAAAGTGCATTTGACATAAATTCAACAGCCGCTCCGACAAAAAAAAAACTGTGAAACGAACAAGAAAAACAAAAGAGAAGACCAGAAAAAAAAACAGCAATGAAATGAAACACCGTTTGAAGAGAAAATGAGAATAAATATAAGAAAAATAATAATTGCAATTAAAAATGTACATAAAAATTGTACAAAAAGTGTATTAATAAATTTAATAAACTGTTTAAAGATTTTAAATAAAACAACAAAACTTTGTAAACTTTAATTGTAACAATTGGGAGCGGCCTTTGGTTGTTTATAACAAAAACAAAACGAAAGAAATGAGCGGTATTTAGCAGACTTTTTGAGTCTTTTATTTTAATAAAAAAAAAAGAAAACTATTTAAAAAATGTTGGTCCCATTTGGCTTAATACGCGGGTTGGCCGCTTATTCGTGGGATATTTGGCTGCCACAATATAAAATTGTATAATTCTTGTACATTTTAGTATTTGCTTTTAATTTTTGTTTCTTTTTCTTGGCCTATATTATTCCTATTGTTAATGGTTGTTGTAATTTCTTAAATTGTTTTAGCTTTTCTTTTCTTGCTTTGGGGGGCTTTTGCACTGTTGCCAATTTAACGTTTTTTTCCCTCAAAATTGACGTTTTTGAAATGGCAATTGAGGAAAAAACGACTTTTAGCGATTCTCGAAAAATTGGGGGATTTTTAACATGTTTTTGGATATTTCTAGAGTTTTATTCTCAAGTTTAATTATTTGCAATAAACATTGAATATTTCACATATAAAATGGAGTAATATTTATTCTGTAAAAAGTTTATGAGATTATCTTATCTATAGTATAGTCTCTACTCCAGCCGCTAATCTAGTCTATGGACCAGTTTAAAGTCTAGTCAATAGCCTAGTTTATAGGCTGATCTATAGTCTAGTTTATATTCATGTCTATAGTACACTCAATAGGCTAGTCGAGTCTATAGTTTAGACTATAGTCTATAGTTTATTCTTTAGTATAATCTATAGAATTTTGTCTATAGTCTAGTCTATGACATATAGTCTAGTATATAGCCTAGTCTATAGAATAGTATATAGCATAGTCTATACACTAGTATATAGTCCAATCTATAATCTTTGCTAGTCAATATTCTACTCCTTAGTCTATAAAAAATAGGCTATTCTATAGCCTAGTATATAGTGCAATCTATGGTCTAATCTATGGTTTAATCTATAGGCTAGTTTATAAGGTTAGTTTATGTCAAGTCTCGATATTTGGTAAATTACAAAATTTTGTTTTTTGACGGCAAAAAACTGTCAGTATCTAGTGTTGTTTTGACGGGTAATGATAAAAAAACTTGGCAACACTGAGCTTTCGGCTGTTGCTACATTTTCTTTCGTATTCTTTATTCATATATCTCTCCTTACACCCAGTATTCTTGGTTTTTATTTATTTTCACTAATTTCTCTTTGCTTCACTTTCTTATTCTTGCTGCTTATTATTTTTGTGTAAAATTTTCATATTTGTTTCTTTCATTTTCTTGGTTTTTAATAAATATTTTTCACAGATTTAAGAATTTTCCTTATATTTCCACTTTTATGTTTTTATTCTTTAACTTTTGCGTAATATTTTCACAAAATATTTATAAAAATTCCTCTTTTTTTTTGCTTTAATAATTCTCTTTGGATATTTTTTCTTCACACAAAAAAAACTCATACATACTGAAGCACACACACACACAAACTCGCTCTTGCACAAAATTTTGACAAGAAATAGATTCACTTCAGATCAGAAATTCTTCTTCATTCCCCTGAATTTTTTTCACTATTACAGATTTAATTTTCGTATAATTAGGCGTACGCGTAATTTTTTTTTTTGTTTAAACGAAATTGAAATAATATGGATATATAAAATATGTTTTATTTTTTTTAATACGTTTTCTAATTTTTCTTTATTTGTTTCTTCAATTTCATTCGAATTTTCTCTTTACAGTTATTACATGCAATTCGTTCCGTTTCGCCTGGTTTCGCGTAGAAGACTGACGAAAAAAATTCCTAGAGTTTCATTTCATTCTAGATGTTACCAGACTGTTAAATTAAATATCAACGCCATGCCAGATGTTTGTTTGGTAGAGAAATGCTGTGGAATATATAATTAATTAAATTAATAAATATGTCAAAATTTGTATTTTATATTATAATTATTGTGTGCAAAATGTCAAAAACATAAAAATTATTTTGTACAAATAGTTTATAGTTAGCATGGAATATGAACTGCTACAAGGTGACTCATAATTTAATGCAACTTTAAAAACAGAATGATTCTGTTAATTTGCTATTTTACACATGAACACATTTGGAGCGTTAGCGACAACCTACACAC